TGCCTGTGCTTCGAGGGAGTTATACACATGAAATAAGTGTCTTTCCCAAAATGTCAAACTACAAGTAGTAAAAGGCAGTTGAATCATATGCAGATGTTTTTAAAACTGTAGTAGGCCTGTTTTGAATCCCTTTTGAGGTACAGTTAAATAATATATAAAAAGCCAACTTATTTTCCCGTGTAAGAACAGGAGACACATTTTCTGACCTCTTGCACTTTGCTGTTAGAACCATCAGAAGAAAAAAACACACTCCTGTTCTAGGCTCTAATTTAACCTTGAGCAACCTGCAGAAGGTTAATAACCAGCAGAGCATCGTGAAAGCAGGTGAAATGGCAGGTCATAAAAGTGAAGCTGTTGGAGAAGGTTGATTAGGACAAGCATCCATAAACCCAGAGTCCCAAGAACATCCCTCCCCCCCGCCTGTACCCCACCCCTCTAAATCACATACACACAAGTTGTGCAATTACCTTGCTCTTCTCTCCTCCCTCAGGCAAAGGCACCATGCCATAAAGACAACCACAGGATCGTTTACGACTCCTGACAGTTAGTTAGTTAGTGAAGGCTGGCTCTCACCCCACCCTGATCATAGCTTGTCAGTCTAAGGGAAATGCCCAACCTTTTGACTGAGGGCACTCTGGAATAATACTTTATGGAAAGCAAAGTGTGACTGAAGGCACACAGGAGCCTCATTAAAATAAGACAATCTTATCTACTGCTTATAAAATGAAATGTGTGCAATTTTTTTCAGATCTGAGCATGCATCACTGTTGATTAACACTGACTTGAGAAAAAAGTGTACTAGAAGTGGTTGCCTTATACTTGCTTTTAAATTTTACTAACATTTGTACTTAGATATCAAATTACATTACGATAATTTGTTTCTTCTGCTACAGGAGGTGTCAAGCAGAGCAATATATCTCCCTCGCCTCCCGGCAGGAAATGGCTAATAGTGACAATGCTGTCTGAGGGGTCAAGGCCTTGTGTTAACTTAACTGCCCTGCTAAAGGTCAACAGAGTCACAAACCATTGGTTCTTTAGAGAGGAATCCCAAAACGAGACTGCACATGATGTATGGGCATGGATGACGCTGGGCAGCCATTTTCACATGAAATAGTGTAGGAGAGCCTTTTCAGTGAGCACAATAGCAGCACCCTGACTCCATTTGACCTAAATGGAACAGAACCTTAATTAGTATCATTGGTAACACCTGTGTTTACCCTACTATTTCATGTCCATATGGCTGCAGAGAAGGAGGTCGCTTTTTGCTCTGGCATCTACTAACAAATGAGCAAGCCTCAGCCAGAACCCCAGACAACGTTCTCCTTTCTTGTACTGAGATATGCTATGTGCTAGGCTTGTCTATGTTGAAAAGACAACCACATTTTGAAGATGGTTTAATGATAAAAGCGTCATCTATATAGTCACATTCAGTTCAATTCAATTGTATTTGAATAGCGCCAATTCATAACAGAAGTTATCTCAGCACTTTTCAAATAAAGCAGGTCT